TCCCGAGTCCCCATCAGCAAGTGGTCCCATTCTCCTACTTACTCATGCCCCAAACCCAAATGTCCTCCTGAACCCCCTCCTCTCAGAATGCATGTCACCTGGGCTGTGCACCCTGGCTGTCCTCCTGAGCTCCCTGTCCAGAATGCCTGAACACCTGGCTGCTGTTCTCCACAACCACACCCCAACCCAACACTGACCAGGGAGCCTGAACGATGGCTAAGCATATCCACTGTGTCCTGCCGGGCCTTGTTTGGACTTATGGTTTCCCGGACACATTCTTCTCCACCTGACACTGGGGAGACTCCAAAGGCTTTGTGTCAACCCCGCCTTTTCTTGACACCTCCCCCAGGGTGCTCCTCTCCATCTCTATGCTCTTTGGCCCCCTGATAATCCCCCTTCCCAAATATATGGCTTAATACCTTCTGTAGGCTGATGACTCACAAATGCACACCAGCAATCCAGAGCTTTCCCCTGATTTCCAGACCCATGTGTCCACCTGCACACTGGACATCTAACAGAGGTCTCAAACTCAACATATCCCAACGAGCTCCTCCTACTGTCTGCAAACCTGCTTCTTCTTCTGTCTTCCTCCTTTTTGTTAATGGTGCACCATCCTCCCCCCGCTCAGGTTGGAAACTTTGGTGTTGTCCTTGCCAGCAGGCCTTCACAGTCTACACTGAGAAAACATCTGTGGTTCTATACTCATTCCTAGGCACACTGTTGCCTCAGTCCAGCCCCCTTCAGCTCCCACCTGGGTTACTGCTGCAGCCTCCTCACTGGCCCACCTGCTGGCCCCCCCCGCCCCATGTCTTCTCCAGCCTGTCCTCAAGACTGAAGCCAAGTGACCTTATTAAAGCTGAATTGTGCCACTCCACTTTCCAGGTGTTGGTTGGCCTTCATCTTGTCTGTCTTTACCAACGTCTGAGGCTTCCTATGGTTTCCCCCATGTCCTCTAGCCCCTCCCCCACCTCCTCTCCCTTGGTCACTCCACTCCAACCACAGAGCCCTTCTCTCGTCCTTAGAACATGCCAGGGCCTGCACAAGTCCAGAAGTATGCACACTGAGACATCTCATTGGCTACGCTCCTTACTTAACAACACAGACATTTACCCCAGAGTCGCTTTCTCCCAAGGATTTCTCTGGCCAACCTATGTGAACTGAACGCAACCCCCCAATCCTCTATAGCCCCCTTTCCTGCTTTGTTATTTGTCCTCAGCACTTGTCACCATCCAACATAGCATCTACTAAGTTGTGCCTATTGACTTTGCTGCCAATTTTATGCCAATGTGAGCTCCTCGCAAGTAGATATTTTGTCTGTTCTTATCTCTAGCTCTGAGAACAGTGCTTGGCACGTTGTAGGTCTCAATAAGTATTTGTCGAATGAATGAGCTGTTATCTAATTATGAGGCCAGCTAAGAGGAACAGGATATTTCATCTGCTCCTCTAGATATCCTCTAGACAGATAAAAGATTCCTCCCAAAATAGACTAGATTGGAAATGGTAGGCATCTATCAGAATAATAGTTGTATTCATTATTTATCCATCCCTCACCCAGTCAGAACTGTGCTAGGCTTGGAAGGAACACAATGAGTCACAGAGAGGGTAGGAAATGTACTCAAGATCACACAGCTAAAAGGCTGTGCCATCCGCATCGTCCCCAGAATGTTCCTCTGTCTGGATCTTCTGTGTGAGATAGTCAAGCTGGAGTGAGGAACCATGGAGGAAGCAGCTCTGTGAGCCCTGTCATTTTGACTGAAGTATGGAAGCTGTTGAGAAAACCAGAGGAAAATTTTACTCTGATTTTAGTATTTCCCTGCATCTGAGAATGTAGTTGGATTTTTGATTTATGGAACACCGAAAATTATGTCAGTAATGAGCATTCTCTTCGCTCATTTGACACTATAAAACTTAAACCCAGATGTCTACTATATACACCCCGCCAGTATATATCAGATTTGGGATATGATCTTAACATTTGTTTTCTTTTGAATTTCTTTTCTCTCCCTCAAATATTTTATTTATTTATTTGAGAGAGAAAGAGAGAAAGGACCAGTGGAGGAGAAGGGCTGAGGGGGAGGGAGAGAATCTCAAATGGACTCTGCGCTGAGCATGGAGCCCCGCATAGGCTCCATCTAATGACCCTGAGGTCATGACCTGAGCTGAAACCAAGTCGGATGGCCAACCAGCCAGGCTACTCAGGCACCCCATTGTTTATTTCTAATTTGTGTTTTCTTAAAATATTTTATGACTATTGTAGGCTTCTTTTTTTTTAACTTGGAAGTAGAATTCAGTAATTTTGCAGTTATTTCCTTTAAGTAATATTAAAAGCTAAGATTCAGAAGTATATCAGTGCCAGGAATGAAGTAATTATTTTTATAAAATGCTGCTGACTCTGGATTTATTCATTCCATTGACTTTTTAAAATTAATTAAGCAATCATTTTTTGAAAATTTCAATTCCAGTGTAGTTAATATACAGTGTTGTGTTAGTTCCAGTTGTATAATATAGTGATTCAGCAATTCTTTGTATTACTTAATGCTCACCGGAAGTGTACTCTTTAGTCCCCATCACTTGGTTTACCCATTCCCCCACACGCCTCCCCTCTGGTAACCATCTGTTTGTTCTCTATAGTTAAGAGTCTGTTTTTTTGCAAGATGAAATCAGAGAGGGAGACAAACCATAAGAGACTTAATCTCAGGAAACAAACTGAGGGTTGCTGGAGGGAAGGGGGGATGGTAGCTGGGTAATGGACATTGGGGAGGGTCTGTGCTATGATGGGCACTGTGAATTGTTTAAGACTGATGAATCACAGACCTGTACTCCTGAAACAAATAATACATTATATATTAATTTAAAAAAGAGTCTGTTTTTTGGTTTGTCTCTTTTATTTTCTCTGTGTATTTGTTTCTTAAATTCCACATGTGAGTGAAATCATATGGTATTTGTCTTTCTAATTCTGACTTATTTCACTTAACATTATATTTTCCAGATCCATCCATATTGCTGCAGATGGAAAGATTTCATCCTTTTTTATGGTTGAGAAATATTCCTGTGTGTGTATGTGTGTTTACCACATCTTCTTTATCCATTCCTCTGTCAAGGATACAGGCTGCTTTCCTTAATCTAGCTCTTTTAAATAATGTTGCAATAAACAAAAGGCTGCATGTATCTCTTTGAATAGGTGTTTTTGTATTCTTTGGCTAAACACCCAGTAGTAGAATTACTAGATCATATGTAATTCTACTTTTAATTTTTTGAAGATCTCCATACTGTTTTTCACAGTGGCTGCACCAGTTTGCATTGCCGCCAACAGTACAAAGGTTCACTTTTCTCTACATCCTCGTCAACACTTGTTGTTTCTTTTTTTTTTTTAAGATTATTTCTATTTATTTATTTATTTATTTATTTGACAGACAGAGATCACAAGTAGACAGAGAGGCAGGCAGAGAGAAAGAGAGGAGAGAAAGAGAGAAGAGAAAGCAGGCTTCCTGCTGAGCAGAGAGCCTGATGCGGGGCTCTATCCCAAGACCCTGAGATCATGTCCTGAGCCGAAGGCAGAGGCTTTAACCCACTGAGCCACCCAGGTGCCCCAACACTTGTTGTTTCTTGTGTTTTTGATTTTAGCCATTCTGACAGGTGTGAGGTGATATCTCATTGTGGTTTTGATTTTCATTTCGCTGATGATAAGAGATGTTGAGCATAGGTCATCTGGATGTCTTCTTTGGAGAAATGTCTATTCAAGTCTTCTCCTCATTTTAAAATGTGTTATTTTTTGGTGTTGTATGTTCTTTTTTTTTTTTAAGATTTCATTACTAAGTAATCTTTACACCCAATGTGGGGCTCGAACCTACAACCCCAAGATTAAGAGTAACATGCTCTATGACTGAACCAGCCAGGCACCCTGAGTTCTATGTTCTTTATATATAATTTTGAACACTAACCCTCTATTAGATATGTCATTTGTAAGTATCTTCTCCTACTCAGTAGGTAGTCTTTTAGTTTTGTTGATTATTTCCTTTGCCATGTAGAAGCTTTTCATTTTGATGTAATCCCAGTAGTTTATTTTTGCTTTTATTTCCCTTGCCTCAGGAGACATATCTAGAAAAACATTGCTATGGTTGATGTCAGAGAAATGACTGCCTGTCTTCTCTCCTAGGTTGTTTATGGTTCAGGTCTCACATATAGGTATTTAATCCATTTTGGGTTTATTTTTGTGTATGGTGTAAGAAAGTGGTCCAGTTTCATTCTTTTGCATATAGCCGTCCAGCTTTCCTAGCACCATTTGTTGAAGTGACAGTCTTTCTCCCTTGCATATTCTTGCCTCTTTTGCCAAGAGGCATATAAACATGGGTTTATTTCTGGGCTTTCTGTTCTGTTCTATTGATCTGTGTGTTTGTGTGGCAGTACCATACTGTTTTGAGTATTATAGCTTTTTAGTAACTCTTGAAATGTGGGATTGTGATACCTCTAGTTTTATTCTTCTTTGTCAAGATAACTTTGGCTATTTTAGGGTCTTTCATGGTTCCAAACAAATATTAGGATTATTTGTCCCAGGTCTGTGAAAAATGCTATTGGTATTTTGACAGGGGTTGCGTTAAATTTGTAGATTGCTTTGGGTAGTATGGACATTATAACAGTACTTGTTCTCCCCATCCATGAGAATGAACTATCTTTCCATTTGTTTGTGTTTTTTTTAATATCTTTCATGATTGTTTTATAGTTTTCAGAGTATAGGTCTATCATCTCCTTGGTAAAGTTTATTCGTAGATATTTTACTTTTTGGTGCAATTGTAAATGGGATTGTTTTCTTAATTTCTCTTCCTGCTGCCTCATTATTAGTGGATACAAATGCAATGGATTTCTGTAGATTAATTTTGTATCCTGCAACCTTTACTGTAAGCTTCTTTGAACTCCTTTGGGATAAGGCAGGGTGTGAATATGTACATGTGCTGTCCACGCATTCATGTCTTGTGTGGATAACTCTTCTAATTACCATTTAGGAAGTAGAAACACAGTTGGAGGAAGTGAAGAAGAAGTCAGAAAATGAAATCAAGCAGCTGGAAGAAGAGAAAGCAGCCCTAAATGTGAAGCTCCAGAATTCCCTGCTTGAGGTAAATCCCAAATTAATTCAGTGCTTGGGAGTGATGGGTGGGAGTCTTGGCTAGCTGAGATGCCAGGAAGCACAGAAAACTGCCCTGACTTCTGTACGTTCAGCATCCTTGGAAGAAAGGAAAGGACTTTGGCCTGACAAGAAATCTGTCTCTTGGGGCATAAATTTAGCTGTGAGTAACAGAGAGCCTGATTTATGGAGGCTTAACAAAGAGGCGTTTAATGTCTCACATAAAAGGAGGCAGTAGGCTGCTGGGGTGGATTCTGTGGCTAAATGACATCAGATCTAGTATATCTGAGATTCCCACAGTCTCTCCTCCTCCTGGGCTGGGTCCTCACTTTCCTGGGTTTTAGATGCTTTTGCCTTCATGGGCTCCTTCCTCCACTGAAAAAAAAAATATCAAAAATTGTATTTTATGACCACATTGATATAAAGATTAATATAGCCAAGGTGTATTTTTACCACCTGACTTTAAAAGAAATTCAGACACTGTTGTGGCCCCTAAAAGTTGTGTAGTCCCTAGGTCCTGTGCCTGTTGCATCTAAGGGGAAAGTTAGCTCAGATTCCCTCAGGCTTGGAAAATGAGTGTCACCACCCTCTTGTCAGGTCCAAATTTACACCAGGAAATGGGGCATGGGGGAGGTGATGACCAGGCCTGCCCACTTCATCAGGAAACCACAAGCCTTCACAGAGGGCTCCCACTGACTCCTCCTCCCATCGGTCATATCTCTGTCACCGGGCCATCCTGGGGAGGCACAGAGGAGGCAGGCAAGGGAGAAAGGAGTAGAGAACGCCTATAGACCAGCTGAACATCACATTTGCTCTGTGTGCCCACCTGTCCAGACCACCCAGAGACCAAGGTCAAAGTTTAAAAGAACGGTTGACCATGTTCTGGTGGGAACTCGCAGGAGGGACTGGAAACAGGCTTCACTCTTGGCTCATTAGACCCCCCAAAATGTGAAGGGGTTTCCTTGTTTCCCCTGTCCTCTCTCACATCTTCCAGATAAGCCCTGAGTCCATGCTCCCCTCAGGAGTCCATGAAATTTGTTCCTTAGCCCTGACTGAGTGCCACAACCTCCTAGGGGAGCTTTTAAGCATCTAGAAGTCTTGTACAAAACAGTACCGATTGTTTAGAAATGCGTAGTGGAGTCCAGTCTGGAGACACGCCTGAGAATGACAGAAGGAAATCTGAACCGCAGCTTGTTTCTAAAAGGGAGAGAGGGTGGTGGATCAAGGAGACACTTAAGGGCTGCAGCTGTATTTGTGATATGTTACCTCTTTGGCTGTGTGAGACGCATGTACACATTACGGTTTTCTCCAACCTCTTTTTCTGTGTCACAAGTTAACATGTTTCTAAAAGCTGAGCCTGCCAGACCTCAGACTTAATATATTAGGGGCTCAGGAGGAGTGGTCCTGGAGGCAAGGCTCTGCTCCAGAGGCTTCTGTTCCACCTCAGCCAAGGTGAAGACATCCATTTCTTTCTTCCTCCTCTCTCCCTCTCTGTCAACTTGTACTGTCAGTTTTCACATTGGCTCTGGACTATGCTGCTCTGCAGAGCTTAGGGAGGCTTCCCATATCTGTGTGGGACCAGCCCAGTCACGCTTCTGACACAGGACACTGGGGTCCCCCTGCTGACTTTCTCTAAATGCCCAGGAGAGCTCCTCTCTAAAAATGACAACAGTTAATTTTGCTGAGTGTTTACTTTATTTAAGGTGCTGTCTAAGTCATTTACATGTATTAACTTTTTTTTTATTTTTTATTTTTTCAGCGTAACAGTATTCATTATTTTTGCACCACACCCAGTGCTCCATGCAATCCATGCCCTCTCCAATACCCACCATCTGGATCCCCCAACCTCCCACCCCCTGCCCCTTCAAAACCCTCAGATTGTTTTTCAGAGTCCATAGTCTCTCATGGTTCACCTCGTGTATTAACTTTTAATCCTCACTACCACCATGTAAGGTAGATATTAGGATTATCCCTGGTTTACAAATGAGTAAACTGAGGCTCAGAGAAGGTAAATCACTTCCTCAAATCCACACAGGTAATGACTAGTAGGTCTAGGATTCAAACCCAGGTAATGGGGCTCTGAAGACCCCACTCTTAACCATGATGCTAATACTCCCTCTAGCACGGTGTGCCACACATTTGATGACAAGGATCATTCAGGACCTGAGTATCTGCAGATGGCTGGCCTGACCCAGAGGCTGATCACGACTAAGCACCTCAGGCCTGCTCTTCATCCTCCATTTTTTCCACCACCGCTTACCAAAGCTAGAAATGGGCCTGACCTCCTCCATCCTCACCTGGAATCCCCACCCCTGCCCCATCATCACATCTAACAGTTGTCAAGTCCTGTGGATCCTATCACTAAGATCTCCAATCCTCTCCTCTCCCTTTATCAGAACCCCAGGATGGCTTGCCTAGACTCTGTTTTTCTTTACCTCTTTCAGATGTTACACAAACAATTGCATAGGACTCCCATTTGGATATTTTGTAAGCCTTAGCAAAATGCAGTATAAATAGTTTCATGATCATCTTCTGGGATGTTGCCTAGTCTGTCAAGAGCATTGGCCTATATCTCCCTGCCTCCACATTCTCCCTGGGCCAGCTAATTCCAGAACTAGCCTTCTAAAACCCAAATCCGCTTAAGACCCCACTCCTCCTTCCCCCAAATCTTTAATTTCCATGTGTTTCATAATTGGGGCCCAGCCCAACCCACCACCACTCTTGCCCAGGACTCTCTTTCCTCCCACCCACTCCTGCATGCCAGGTCCCCGACATGGAATTTTCCTAGTCCTCATGCACATCCTGCCTTCCCTCTGCCATTGCACCTGCTACTCCTGTCTCCTGGAATGTCGCTTGTCACCCTCACCACTGATGGACTCCTATTCATCCTTCAGTGCCCCTGAAGTGCTCCAGACCTCCCTGGGCAGAGTTTTTTTGCTGTAAATTCTCTGCAGTGGTATGTGTCTCATAGTAGTTGTTGTGAGGATTAAACAACTTTATACTGCAAAATTCTTACATCTGTGCCTGGCACAGAGAAACACACCATTCATGGTACTGTTATCATTTTGTCTCCTGAATGTTTCTGTGATGATAACCATTTACCTGCTGCCTCCTCCATAAGATGAGAGCTCCTGGAAGGCCTGGGCTGTATTTTATTCTCTTACCATTTTGCTCTCACTCTGTCTTTCTTCCTTACCTCCTTACACCTGGCATGGGGCCCGAGGAGGGTTAGGTTTCCTACCAAGATTTGTTAGCAAATCTGAGTTTTCTTTATGGTTATTCGCCTTGTTCTTCTCAGAGTCTAGAGCAGAGAAACCAGTCTGTTTAATCGATATTCTACAATTAGCTGGCTAATCATCATCATCATAATTAGGACTGTACACTTGAGTAGTACCTCCTAGCCACTCTTTCTTTGGTATAATTCTTAAATATTATTCATTTTCTTTACCAACTAGCTTTTTTAAAAAAAGGAAAGGAGTGATCTTCCAGGAGTGGTGTGAAAGCCAAGGAAAACCACCTTACAGCTCCCATATAGGTGTATTTATGGCCATAATTTAAAGGGAACTATACAGTACTCTACCTCTGCCAGGCTCATCTTTTCTAGAAAGATGAAACAACCAGCCAATTAGAAGTGGCCTTTCCAGAAACACGTTTAGAAGCTGTCCAATGGGGCACTGTCCCCAGAACTGATTGACCCTGGAGAATGGTTTCCCAGATTAATGACCCCATCAGGAGATGGGGGTCCATATCATTACCAAGTGTTTGTTTTCTTCTATTTTAGGTTTTGAGACTGGAAGAATTTATCCAACAGAATAAGGTATGTCCCGGAAAAGGCAAAGAAGGAACTGGAAGGCCCCAGGAACTGGATTGCCAACAGCACAGCATTTTAAAGACCCAGGTAACCTCTGTTTTTTTCCTGCTTTAATTAAGGATGTATCCCTTCTCTCAGCACTTCATCGTCCCTAGTGACACATGTTGGTGTTAATGGGTTCTTTTATCTCCCCGCTCAGAGCTGCCAAAATGTCTGGAAAAAAAAATCACCACAAAATCCATTTGCAAAAGCCATGAAGAAAATAGAGTTCTGAGTAATTATCCACGTGGTTTGAAAAAGAACAAGGCTTGTCAGATGAAATCTTCCTTCCCTCTCTGAGAGGATCTTGCCTGGCAGATAAAAGGGTACTCGCCCAGAGGCGGCCTTGGGCTCTGCCCAGCAGGAAGCATAACAATAATGCCCCTGGCCGCCTCCCTCTGCATGGAGATACCAGTTACTCTTACACTAGACCTCCCATGAGGCTGCCCTTTTACAGACCCTACTCCAGGGTGGAAGCTGGTTCCCATGAGTCCTCTGTCCACTCATGATAAGCCGTTTTATTTTCCTAGGGCCATCATAATGAATCACAACACACTTGGTGGCTTAAACCACAGAAATGTGTGGTCTCACAGTTTTGGACATCTAGACGTCCACAATCTAGATGATTGCAGGGTTGGTTCCTTCTGGCATCCGTGAGGGAGACTCTCCTGAGTGCCTTTCTCCCAGCCACGGATGGCTGCTGGCAATCCGTGGCATTCTGTGGCTTGCAGATGCATCACTTCGAGCTCTGGCTCTGTCCTCACGGGGCCATCTTCCCTGCATGTCTGTGCCTCTGGGTCTTCACAGGGCATTTGTCTACGGACCCTCGGATCCTTGGTTAGGGTCCACCCTAATCCAGTAGGACCTCATAGTAACTAATTACATTCACAAAAGCTCCTATACAAATAGGATCATATGAATAGGTACTGGGGACCAGGACTTCAGTATATCTTCCCAGAGCCACAGTTTAATGCAGCAGAACATACGCTCTCATTGAATATTTGCTGCATGATGTCAAACACATAAATAATTCCTGTGAAGTCAGCGTTTGAGTGTCCTGGCTTCATTGACCCTCTTGGTTCAGCTTCCCTATTAACCTCTCCAGCTGCAGCCAGCAAAAGGCCATCACCGTAACATTCTATTTTGTTGCTGTCCCAGATTTTCAGTCCACTTCATACTCCAGGTGAGAAAACACACATGAGTCTGAATCTCATTGCTTCATCCTCACCCATCTCTTATTCACCATGTCCATGTGCCTGAGTGTTGACAGGAACTGCACTTTCTCTCCTTCAACCCCAGACTTCCAGAACTTGAGCCCTGGTCCTGCCAGCAGTCCCCAAGGCCCAGCCCACTGAGCTGGCCCCTATTTAACCACATATTCACTGGGGTAAAAATGAGCCAGAAATCTGGGAGATATGGATGTGAATGACAATGTTTGTACGGGACCCGTCAGCTCTCGAGCATGGTCCCCATCTATAACTTCTTTGGAGTCTTCCAACAACGCTGTAATCCCCTCATTTTACAGAGGAAAAAACTGAGGCACAGAGTAGCTGGGTGACTTGCCCATGATCATAGGCATGTAAGCACCCAGGACAGGACAGAGCCGCTGGGTCTGTGGCTCTGAGCCCCATTCCCCTTGTGAGAGTATCAACACATGCCCAGGATGCCTCCCAGGTAAAACAGACCTCAGCTTTGTCTTGGGGTTGAGCAGGGCAGCCAGGATGCCCTGGGTTTCTCCCTCTGACACCCAGACTGGGGGAGAATCCTAGAGCACCCTCTTTGCCCCACATAAGCCTGCAGGAGAAGGCTAATGGAGCATACGCACCTACCTCAGTGGGACTGGTCCTTCCTGCTCTGGGGCCATGCATCCTTTCTGATGGCGTCTGCCTGAGAAGTATGCAGATATTTCCATCCTCCCTCAGTTTCTCACGAACCAGCCCCATGAGCTTGCATTCCACTGGAAGAGCACCTGGCCCTGGGGACAGTTGAACTTTCCACCAGCACCCTGCGCCATTTCCTGGAACGATTCTTTCTCAAATATTCAACTGTTTCTCAGCTCCTCACAGTGACTGTGGCAGGGAGGTGGGACAGAGTTGGCTGGGCTCCTGAGTGATGAGATTCCAGTGAAAATAAGATTAATAAGCTCAGGAAGATGGAGCATCGGCTGGATTTTGGGGGGAGAATACACACACCTGAAGTTCTAGGTATGTCCCAGGGCAGGTGAATAAAGGTCAGAGCTGTTATGATAGCTCAGAGTTTCTCTGCCTTATCCCCAGCCACTGCCCACCAAATGCCAGGAGCATCTCCCCAGTAAAATGTCCCAGTCAAAAATGTCTCCAGACGCTGTCCTGTGTCTCCTGGAGGCAAAATTGCCCCCAGCTGAGAACCACTGATGTAATTAAAAATCTTGAGGAAGTTCAAAGTACACATGCATGTTAACAACCCTAGGTTGGTTCACCATGAAACTTGGCTCTCCTCCCACCCTGCTTGGTCTAGAATACTGTCCCTCATGAGCCCGGTTTCTAGAGAGCAGTACACACCCCTCCTGTGTATGAATTGCACATGGAACTTCAGAGAACATCAGTTCCATTTGATTCAACTCTATATGCACGTTATTTATTCATTCCACGGTCATTTGTGGAATACCTAGGTTGGGCCAGCCTCTGAGCTAGACCCTGGAGGAGAGAAGCATTCATAAACCAACAGCTTTAAAACCAAGTGGACACTTAGTAATAGAATTAAACATCTAGTGCTGTATTTTCTTTCTTTCTTTCTTTCTTTTTTTCTTATCAGAAATGCTGGGATAAACCCAAGCATCTGTATTTGTATTTTATTTTATTTAAAGATTTTATTTATTTATTTGACAGAGAGAAAGATCACAAGCAGGCAGAGAGGCAGGCAAAGAGAGAGGGGGAAGCAGGCTCCCTGCTGAGCAGACAGCCTTATGCAGGGCTCAATCCCAGGACCCTGAGATCATGACCTGAGCCGAAGGCAGAGGCTTAACCCACTGAGCCACCCAGGCGCCCCTGGTGCTGTATTTTCTATTAGGCAACTCCTATGTGCTTTGCAGGCATGACTTATTCTCTTAAATTGTTTTCTTTTCAAATAATTAATCCATATATGTGGCAGAGGATTTAGAAGGTGTATAAAGGCATACAGTGAGAAGCTTCCCTCCTCTCCCTAGTTCCTTGTCTGGTTTCGTTGTTTTATCTCTTCTTGTGTATCTGCTCAGAGCTATATACCATGCATATTCAAGCATAATTATAAATTTATTATTTTTTTCTACAAATGGTAGCATACTGGCCTGGGCTCTACTTTTTCTACCTCATTAAATTTTCATAGCTTGGGGATTGCAACACATCAGTACACTTCCATATCAACCTCCTTTCTTTCTTTTTTTTTTTTTTTTACCTCCTTTCTTTCAAAGAACAACTGTTCTTTGTTCTTACAGTTTACAGTTACAGAAAACTGTTCTTACAGTTTTCCCCGTACAGAAAACCGTAATATACTCTTTCCCTTATGACAGATATTTATGTTGGTGTTCTCCATTACAGATAATGCTTCAATGGATAGCTCTATAGAGGGATATAGTGTAGTATCACTGTTAGGCGAGCTCCCCCTAAAACAGATCCCTGTGCTTTTACTGGCTGGACAATCTTGGACAAATGATTTAAAGTCTTTTTTCTTGAGCCTCCTCATCTGTAAATTGGGGCAATGATATCACTTACCTCAGGGGGCTTTTTTGATGATGAAATGAATTAATATATGTACAGTGTTGGAAAGTACCCAGCATGTGCAAATGCTTGGTAGATGATAACTTGTGATCATATAATTTTCTGGGTCCGGTGGCATGTGCGTCTCTAACTTTGATAGTTGTGCCACATTACCTTCCATTGATGATGTCTCAATGCACACTCCCAACAGCAGCACATGTGACCATCTGTTTCCCCATATCCTGGCCAACACAGTGCATTATAAAACTTTTGGAACATGACCCATCAGAGAAAATTTGGAATTTAGTTCAAATATTTTTGGCAAGCTGACTATATGTTAGCCAAGTGAGTCAAAGTTTGTCTTGGGCCCTAAAGATACAAAGTCCTGGAGAATTTCTTAGGTTGGTGGAGAGGCTGTGTGAGTGGCCCCCTGCAGCACAGTCATAGAAGGCCCACCACATGGATTGACCCACAAGGGGCCATAAAATTTAAGTTTGTTCAAGACTCTGGAATTTCAATTTAGGCCGTTGGCTTTTCTGCCAGAGCCCTACAGTGAGTCAAGAGAGATAAAAATAATAATGTCAGCTGAGACTTGAGCTGTTTTCCCTCCACTCCCAGAACATACTGAGAGAGGGTTGCCAAGCCTGGGTGTGGCTCTGTCCCCAGCACAGTTAGCTGGGACTTTGTCGAATCTTTTGTCTTGTCGAACCTCATGTTAAGTCTCTTTGATTCTCTTAGTTTTTTTTATAGCTTTTTTTTTTTTTCATTGGTTTTCAGAAATCCATGTCAGCCTTAGTACTTCTGAAGGGAAATTTTTTTTCTGGAAGACTCCTCTGGTGCCTAGGTCACAGTGAACTAGGGCAGAAAAAGGGGTAAATTTTCCACAGAGTCTCATGCCTCTACCCCTCCAGAAGAAAAAGGAGAGTCATTGATGATCATTATTATTCAAGTTTTTTTTGCCTCAACAAATATTTATGTGTGGCGTCTACAGGGCATGGGAGCTGGATTCTGGGTCAATAAGGCCCAGTCTTGGTCCTTGGAGAGTTCCATTTCTAGCAGGGGAATAAGTATTTACTTAAATAGTCACATGGTATGATAAATACTGTAATAATGGCAGGAAGATTCTTTGCAGTCAAGATGAGAGAGGCAGGTGTCTGCCCAGGGAAGTCCAGGAAGATTCCGCAGAGCAGTGACATTTGTTGCCATCTGCCTGGACACTGAAAGTTGAAGATGTCTTCCTCAGGGAGGGAGCGGACAGGAAGAAGGAGCACAGTGAAAGGTCTCAAGGCAAAATCCCCGAGGCCTGGAGGAAGGGAGACAAGGGGCACGCTGAAG